GAGGCAGCCTTTCAGACGAGGGTGACTATGAGTGTGTGGCTCAGAACCGCTTTGGGCTGGTGGTCAGCCGGAAGGCTCGCATCCAGGCTGCAAGTAAGTGGACGCCCCTTACTTTTTTCCCCCAGACTGGGGATCCGGGGTCAGCCTAGGGCATGGGGGACAGGCAGAGCAGTTCCATTTATTCAGACTTCTGGAGGACCAATTTTTCGGCATGGGTCAGTTGAGAGGTGCAGAGCAGTAGTAATTTGTGGTGGTGGGATTATATCATATACTCATTTAAATCATTAGAATGTGATTTGATAAGAATGTAGCCAAACACTGTTGTGGGGGGAGAGAGAGAGAGAGAGAACAAGAGCGAGAGAGTGTTTTATCCAACTCTTGGGTCAGCATGTCTTAGTTTCCATATGCCTGTAGATTGTGAGCATTCCAGTCCATTGGGTACAATTCTAGTGTTTAAACATAAACAATTGTCATACTTTATGGGTAATTTAAGAGAATTTTGAAGGGTAATTTTGGCTACATGCAATTTTTAATTATGTGCTGACTTTCAAACATTTTGAGTATGATTTAACCTCACTATACTAGTAATAATGTTCTGAAGCCTGTCAAAAATTTGCTTTACAAAAAATATGGTAGAATAATTTCAGGGTTATTACAGTAATGACATTACTCCCACTCACCTCATGCTGATGTGCTTTTTCTTTTTTTTGAATTTCAGCTTTATTGAGGTATAACTGATAAGAAAATTTTAAGATATTTAAAGTGGACATTGTGGTGACGACATCTGATGTGCTTTTTTGAATGGGGGAGAAAAGGCCAGGCAGAGCATTTCAGTTCTGGAATTATGCTTTGCTTGCGCTGATGGACCGCCTATTGTGGTGATGAAATGATAGCGGTGCTTTACTGTCCTGTCCTGCAGAAATTCTGTTGTTGTTGTTGTTTAATCTGTGCACACTTGTGGGAGTGTGTTACATAAACCAAAATTATCTATGTATCTTGAGGAAGTGGCAGGCTGTGGGCAGGGGGTGTGTCATGATTGAGAAGCACTGCTCTTGAGAAAGGGCAAAAGTTTTGGCAAGTGGAAAATGTTCTCCATCCCATATCTCTGTACTTCTGGAGGTGGGTGTCCTTTAAGGAGGCTGCTTTACCTTTGGTTGGTAATAATTCTAGCTTATACCTATTAAGCACTTGCTGCATGCTGGGCACCCTGCCTAAGTGCTTTATGTGATTTTTCTCATTTAGTCATCACAACAACCCAGGGAGTTAGGCAGTTATCATCCCCCTTTTACAGATGAGAAAACTGAGATGTAGAGGGATTCAGTGACATTCTGGTAAGCAGAGGAGCCAGGACTGCAGTCTAGGCGGTGTGAACCTGACACCCTCCCGCTTAACTCCTATGGCGCGCTGCCTCTTCCCTGTCTGGTCGCTGACAAGTTTCTGCCTGGCTCTGAGGGCATTTGCACAGTTGCTCTGAACGGCTGGTGAGTGATGAATCGTTTTGAGGCAGGAGCCCTTTCGTTGAGTTTAAGATGCCCCTTTGTTCTAAAGAAGGCTGATCCAGGCCCTCATATGGAGCTCTCTGGGTGGCAGCCCTGGACCTTGAGACCGAATCATTTCTGGCTCAGCGACCCCTCATCTCCTGGCCCTCCCGGCAGTGTAGGGGAAGGCTGGTGCAGCCTTGGAGCAGATGGCTGGGTGTGAGGAAGAGAAGCATGGATGCAGGGTGGGGACCCAGGAAGATTTGCAGGTGAGAGAAATGAGACTTCCCTGGGAGATGACTCCTATACCTTCCCTGGCCTATGTCAATGCTGAGGGATAGATGGCCCCTGCATCAACAGCCTAGAATTGTGGAAGATAAATCCCCAGGTGTTTATATATAGCTAATTGTAAATGTGCTTTTCTATAAATGGTAATACCTTCAAGATGTTTGGTTTCCTTACACTCCTAACAATATAAGAAATTGAGTTGTGGGCTCTGGCTGGGGGAAGGGCCAATGAGTGAGGTCAGCTTGGTTAATCCTTTGGGGTCCCGGGGATGGCTGGGGAGTTTGCCTGCAAACACTGGAAGTCCGATGTGGGCTCTCTCTCCCCGACAAGGCTTGTGGCCCCATGGGGGGAATGCTTGGATACCAAGCAACCACGTGGCTGGATCTCCTTTTCTCACTTTACAGCCTGATGTCCCTAGAAACCTCCAAAGCTGATTAGCTGCCTGGGTTTCCTTTTTTAGCACTAACTCCCTGCCCATGTGCCCACAGGCACTGCAGATGTTGTGTGACATGGGAGGGTGCCTTGCTGAAAAGGTGTGAGAAGCCTTCTGGAGCCCCCTTCTTCTCCTGTGTGCTCCACAGGGGCTGTGGGGGCAGGGGCATGCTAGGCGCCCCTCACAGACACACAGTCCACCCAGTGGACTAACCCAGTGAGGCAGATAGGGGTCCAGGTCTGCTGGGGCATCGGAGCTCTGGGCCAGAGGCCGATGGTTGGGAATGCCCCCTCTTCCATCCCAGTGGTCTCAGATGCTGTCATTGAAAGCTGGCCTGACCAGAGTGGGCTAACCTACAGGCTAATTCCCTGGGGGCTTCAGTTCCAAGTGCCTCCTTTTTAGGGTGGAGCGGCTCAGGGTCCTAAGAGTACTCTTGCTTCCAGCATGTCTGGTTTCACTGCCTTGGTTTCTATGTGCTTATAGTTTGGGGGCTGAAAATTGAGACACTTGTTAACAATGAGACCCTGGACCAGTTAACCTCTCCGGAGCCAAGTTTCCTCACCTGTGAAATATGTGTATAATGCTATCTTATGGGATGGTTGCAAGGACTAACACACCCCCCACTTTGCCTGGCACATAGGAGGCACTCAGGAATGGGAGCCAATACTTTTTCATTTAAAGGCAGTTTCACTGATATTGCCAGCAAAAGCAAACTGCTTGAACGTGCTCCCAGCTCCCAGCTTTCCCCTCACTGGGATTCAGTTAGGGAGTACTCCAGGGAAATCTATCAGGGAATGGAATTATTGGAGCTGAAGTGCCACTTGTTCTGTATTAACCCCTTCCTGGGAGGACCTGGGGATTCTTCCAAGCCTCTGGGCATTGGCTGAAGCTGGGTTGGCCTGTGAGACCCTCTGCCATCCCTCTGGAGGTGCTCTGGGAAGGGCATGAGGGTCACCTGACCCAGTGGGAACTTGTGCATTGACTCATACCTGTTGAGATCTGTGTGCCTGGATGACTCCAAAGAGGGATGGGCTAGCTTCAAGGAGGGGGGATAATTGGGGGACCCACCCTCATCTCCCCTCAGGGAGAAGCCCTCAGTTCCTGGCCTCAGTTCTTGGTCTCAGGCCCCTTGGGAACATGGGGGGAAGAGCTAAGTGATCCAGAGCAAGACTTCTCAAACTTTACTGGGCCCGTGAATTACCTGAGGATCTTGATAAAATTCAGATTTGATTCAGTAGGTTTAGGCAAAGATGTGGGGTTCTGCATGTCTAACAACAGCCCAGGTGATGCTGATGGTGCTGGTCCACAGGTGCTAGAGGAGAGACCACGCCTATGTCTTAGTTGCTGGTGTGGGATCTGTGGGCAGCATAGTGAAGTCCGTAGAACATGGGCTTCAGCACCAGACCCAGGTGAGTTTGAACCCCAGCTCTGCCACTCACTGATCATGTGTCCTTAGCCTGAGTTACTTAACTCTCTTGAGACTTTGTGCCCTCATCTGAAAAAATGGGCATAATCCCATCAGCCTATCAGGGCTGTTGGAGGATTAAATGATGATGGATGAAAAGCACCTGGCACAGGGCTTGGCGTCTGGGAAATACTCATTAAGTATTGTTGTTAATGCTAGGGATTGACCACTAATTTAGGATGAGGTCCAGCCTGTCTTGATTTCTCAGAGCCAGGATTGCCTCCCTCCCAGGCTGACTGGGGCACCCAACAGGGGTTATGAGGGTGGGCTGTGGAGGCAAACAGCTGGGTGGACTTGGGCAAGTCACTTAACTTCTCTGAGTCTCAGTTTCCTCATCTTTAAAATGGGGGAAATACTTGCCAAGGAGGAATGTTGTGAGGATTACCTACGGTAATGTGCATAAAGAACTTAGCCCGGTGTGGGGCACGTACAAAGTGTTCCTTAAATATTAACTATTATTATTCGGAGGAAGTAATAGTGGTGAGAAATATGAAGTTCTAAGCTCCTTTAGTAGTACTGATTCCAGAAGGCCGCTGGTGAGCCCAGACTTCTAGAAAGAGGCAGTGGGGTGCAGTGAGAGGCGAGAAAGTTCAATTCTAGTTCCCCTGCTGTCTCCACTTCTGTAAGTCACTGACTTCTTAGGCCCTCAGTTACCCACTTCTAGAGTCTGAGTCATTCTCAGCCTGTCTGAGGGAGGGCAGTTTAACTAGCTACTCAGGAATCTTCTCTCAGCAACAAGATCCATGGTTGTGTGGCTCTGGGGGGCAGGATCTGGGCTGTGGAATCGGGTCTGGGTGGAGGGTTGGGAGAACTGTGGGCTGGAGTTGCTGGGGAGTATAGCTTTTGTGGGGGGCTCAGTGGATGTAGGGGGCCCCAGAGGACCTCAGTGTAGGGCAGTGGGTTGTGGAGGGAAGTACTTCCTGGTGCAGTGGCTGGTAACCCTGGAGGCCTTTGTCACCTGGAGGTTATATGCGCAGGCCTGGTGTGTGGAACCCAAGCAGCTCAGTGAAGGTAGCCCTGAGGAAGTCTCCTACTGCCCCTCAAACACACTCATCTACCTACCCATGAGGGCAGGAAGCAGGGGCTGCAGCTGAAGGGTCACTGTTGTGATGGGTGAGTGGCTGTGCCTAGGCCTGCTCTCATGCCAGGCAGCTCACCTGTATGTACACCATGGCACAGAGGTAGGTGCAAATGGGTGAGGGTCAGGCCCTTTTACCTGCCAGTCAGTACTCCACAGACCAACCCTTCTGACACTCCTGAGAAGCTGTGAGGATGATGGAAAAGCCCTTACCTGGATGCTAGAAGTCCTGTGAGGCTCTGAACAAGTCACTCACCCTCTCTGGGCTTTGCCTTTCTCATTGTAAAATTGGGTGGTTGGACCGAGGTTCATCTCTGCTCTATAGTATTAAGGCTTCCTTGCCATCCAGCC